TGCGCCCTATAGCAAAAACCTCTCCAAAAGAAAAAAAGAAAGAAAGAAAGAAAAAGAAAAGAAAAGGACTCCACAAAATTTTTAGTTTTGCCAGAGGGTGTGTGCACTTACTGGAGACAGACAGACTGAGCAAGAGCGAAAAGGTGAGAAAGAGGATCCACCATGGAGCACAGGCTCTTGACAATCCCTTCTCAATTTCTCCTTCCTTCTGGGATTTTGGGCATACCTGCATATACACGCATGTGTTTTTTAAGCTGCCAGGTCCAAGACTTCAACTGAGCAGCCAACAGTGCAAGATCCAGCTGCCTTAACCACTAAGCCATACATGGCCTCACCCACAACTGATTTTCTTTAAAAAAAAAAAAAATTACATGATTTTATTGTTCATACACACACACACACACACACATATATATATACATGTTTGTTTTTTTTTTTAACCACAGAGAGAAAGTGAGAAAGCAAGGCACCAGGCATAATACTTGAACCACACCCCCTGTCAGCACATTTGCTCACATATTTAAGCTAATTTTCCTTCTTCTTTTAAAAATAATTATTTAATTCCATTTGTTATTATTTTTTATTTGCCCAGATAGAGACAGAGAGAAAGTGAGAGAGCCAAAGCGAGAAAGCAAGCTGCCAGGTCCAGGACTCAAACTGTGGATGGCCATGTGGGAATCAGTGCCTTTATCCACAATGCCACCTGCCAGCCCCCAGCTAAAATTTTTCACTGTAACCACCAGGTCTGGGACTCAAACCAAGGTCAAATACATGGGAGTCCAGCAATATAGCCATTATGCCAACTGCTGGTCCCAAAAGTTATTTTTATTCTGGATTGATCATAATTACTGTATTTGACCAAAATAAAAATATCCATAATTATTAAATACAAGAAAATTTCTACTAGAAATGTACTCCAATTAGGAGCTAGTTCAAATTTCCATGGATGAATTCTGCTTCCTGTTAAGATAGTTACAGCACTAATTCTATTCCTATTTTTCTTTTAACAGGAATAAGCAATGAGAAACCTTGTTCCCATAAATAAATAGAAGGGAATAAAATTTCCTAATAGCAGTATCACTAAATTCTTGGAACTCCTAAGTTATAACCAAAAGTCATGTAGTCATCTATTATCAAAAATATTTTTAATGATCAACTGACAACCTGGTTCCTCCTTAAGTTGTGTTAAAAGCAAAGGCTTGGGGGAACCAGCAGTTAGCGTAATGGCTATGTCGCTGGACTCCCACGTAGTTGACCGCGGTTCGTGTCCCGGACCCGGTGGCTTAAAACTCACGCAGGGCGCGTGTGCGTGCGTGCCCAAGATCCCGAGAGGAGAATGGAGGAGAAGGGATTGCGGCGTGACCATCCCCCCTGGGGGGTGATTTCTCACTTTCTGTCTCTCTCTGTCTGGCGAGCGCACGCGCCCTACAGTGAAAATCTCTCCAAAAAAAAAAAAAAAAAAAGCAAAGGCTTGGAAAACTCCTAAATTACAAAAGGATTTGTTTCCTAGTCATTAGAATCACCTACTTTCTTCTATTTGGGATCACTCCCATGATGCCCCAGAAATAGTTTCCCCCCCCACCAGTGGCACATGCACCAGCCAGAGCCAGACTAGGGAGAGGAAGAGGGAGAGGGAGAAAGCACCCCTGTGAACGGCCATGTGGCAATTCCTTCTCTCTCTCTCCCTGCTTTCAGAATTTTGGGCATGCTTAAGTGCCCAGTGTGTTTCTCAAGCCTCTGTGTCCAGAATTTGAACTGTGAGGTCAGCCTTGTAGGATCTATTTAATCACAGCACCAGTCTTAACCACCAGGCCACAGAACCAACTGAGCCCAAGATAGTTTTTAAAACATCCAGGGAAACACATCATGGTCTGACTGAATGGTAGAGGGGTTTGCCTTCCTTGAAAAAGGTGGAAGACCATCAGGTCTCTACTTAAGCCTAGTGTGTTCTCAAGCAGCTCAATTTTAGGAAGCGTAATGCAAGCTGAGGACTTGAAAATCAATTCCCTTAAAACTGTTCTTGTCTGGATACCCCGGAGTCTTCCTACCCTGAGGAGTATATGGAGCATAGCTGTGAAGACTAGGACTGCACCGATATAGCACCATGATATAACCACTTGGAGGAAACAAGGGAGTGTTCCTCCACTGACAGCACCTCGTCCAGACAGCACTGAGAACCAAACCTGTGTTAGGGAGAACAGCGCCACTCTGAGCGAACCCATCAGCCTAGGAAAGGTTCAAAGTAAAGTGCTCAGAAGGAATAACCCTAACTCTGAGAATAAGGCAAAAGGCTCTGAGCCATCCTAAGCGAAGATCCAAGGATGGGACAGCCTGGGCTCCTTCACTGCATCTGCCCTCACAGCCTGGCACCAGTGACTGGCCCACCTGAGGACACCTGACCCAAAGAGACCAACAATATTCTCTTTCTCAGACTGTAGGGCTGGTCTCTAGTAGCTAAACACAATGAGAAATGGAAAAAGCTGATCTGCAAAAACAGAGAACTAAACATATGGACAGACAAAAGGACAACCACCGCAGTTCGAAAGAGGTGTGGCCCAACTTCACTCAGGTTCTAGAACACTCCCCTTTCTGCATCGGCTGATTTTAATTAATTCCTGGGGATTGCAGTCAGAAGTTTGGCTCAAATCTGAGTAGCTAGAAACTATTTCTGTGAAAGTCAGACCAATGGACCAATGATATTTACAGCACTGTCACAAAGTATCCTGGAGCTAAGTAGACAAAGCACATAGATAGTTCACAAAAAAGAAATTATAGCTCACCCTTAAAAATGAATAGACACAGCCGGCTCCCCGGCTCCTTCCCTCTTCCCAACTCCACCCCCTCCCCCCGCCCCCGCCACCTTGCGGGAGAGAGGCTGGGATGGTAGATGAGATCACCAAGACTCAGGTCGCCCGGCCTAGAGGCAACACGATCTTCGGGAAGATCATCTGCAGGGAAATCCCCGCCAAAATAATTTTTGAGGATGACCGGTGTCTTGCCTTCCATGACATTTCCCCTCAAGCACCAACACATTTTCTGGTGATACCCAAGAAACATATATCCCAGATTTCTGAAGCAGAAGATGACGAAAGTCTTCTTGGACACTTAATGATTGTTGGCAAGAAATGTGCTGCTGATCTGGGCCTGAAGAAGAGTTACCGAATGGTGGTGAAGGAAGGTTCAGATGGGGGGACAATCTATCATGTTCATCTCCATATTCTAGGTGGTCAGCAGATGAATTGGCCTCCTGGTTAAGCATGTTTTGGGGATAATTTTCACTTCTATAGGCAATAATCAAGTTTGCAAGTTACAGTATCAGCACACTTCATTTTGCCTGTATATGGAGAGACTGAGGAAGTAATTTGAAAATCTCATACATAACAAAAGACTTTGTTGCACGGTTAAAAAAAAATAATAATAAGACTCGGCCAGCCCCATGGCCTAGTGGTTAAGGGAGCCAGATCCCACATAGCCAACTACACAATTCAAGTCCCAGACCTGGCAGCCTGAAAAACAATGGGTATGCTGTGTGTGCATGCTTAAAATCCCAAGAGGATAGAGAAATGGTGGAGAAGAGATTGCTGCACGACACACCCCACCGGCGAGTGATGTCTCCCTCTCTTCGTCTATCTCTCTGGGAAGTACACACACCCTCTGGCAAATTAAAAATAAATAAATAAAAGGCCAGCAGGTGGCATAGTGGTTAAGACTCCCACATGGTCGACGGCGGTTCAAGTCTTGGACCCAGCAGCCTGAAACTCACACTGGGCATGTGTGCATATGATGTGCCCAAAATCCAGAAGAGAATGGAGAAGGGACTGCAGTGTGGCCATCCCCCAGGGAGTGATTTCTCACTTTTATCCTCTGTCTCTCCAGCAAGTGCAAACACACTAGACAAAAATCTCTCAAATTTTTTCTTACAGATAAAAATAAAATCTTCTTAAAAGATATTCAACATCACTAATTATAATAAAAAGGCAATTAAACAACAAATTTAAGTTTGTTCATTCATCTCTTCCATGTACAAGAGAAAAAGAGAGGAAGGCAGCACCCCCAAGAGGGATGCTTGATACCACAACCACTCTCAGCTTCAGCCAATCCCAGATCACAGGCACTCATATACCCAGTGTACTTAGGGAGGTCTTGGACTTGAACCAAAAACATTCTCATGTGGGACTGCCTCACAGAGTGTCCTATTTTCTTCTGATGCCACCATCTGGCCCCCTACACTACTAAGAAATGATCACTTACCAGGCTGGCAAAGATCAAAAGCTATTAACATTGGAAATGCACACTCAAGTCTCAATTTTAGAAAAATTTTCCTGCAAATATACCAACAATTTATAAAAGGACATGTAAAAATGATTATGCTTTACTTATTAAAGTAGTATTATAAAAGCAGAAAACCTTAAATGAAATACCCATCAAAAAGAAACTAATAATAAATACAGTAAAATTTAATACTATGCAGAAAAACAAGGCAGAGAACAATCTCCAAAGTACAAGGAAGATTTGCAAGACAGAGTACCATTAGGCAAAAATAAGATAGACAAGGAAAACATATCTAATTTTGTATTCATAAAATACACTTGAGAATAAAGGGGAGAAATTGGGATGAAGAAAACCATCTTGAATTATCAGAAGCAGAAAAATGCTCAGACTGACAGGGGCATGTTAACAGAATATAGAAGCCAAAATTGGGCTATATTTGAACATCAAAAATAATGACAGTAACAATCATTACATGTTAAATGAGAAAATTACAATAATTTTTTATGTTCATCTTTACAAAAAATTCCAACGATTTAGAAGAATGAACAAAACAGAAAATCACTTTTTCGGGCATGGTGGTTGAGGCACTGGATTCCCATGTGGCTTGAATCCTGGACCCAGCGGCTTGAGGATCACACTGGGTAGGCATGCATGTGTGCCCAGGACATCAAGAGGAGAGTAGAGAAGGAATTATAGCATGCCCATCCTCCCTAGGGGATGATTTTTCAGTTCCCCTCTCTGTCTCTCTTTAGTGAGCACACTTGCCTTTAAAAAAAAAAAGAAAAGAAAAAAATTATTTTTCACAATCACATTAGTAATAAATTAGTTCAAGAATCACCAATGAACATTAACACTGGCTATAAAATGGCTGAAGACAGGATATTCCCAGTCTCAAACGCCACTACAGGGTACTTACTACTTACCAAGTCTGGGAAAGAGACACACCTGGCAGGAAATACCTGAAGTATCAATAAATTATCTTCAAATCATCAATAATGGGACAAGCTATCAAGTGCTGACTGGCATAAGGACACCACACCACCAAAGAAGGATTCCTGACAAAAATGTTTAACTTGAAACCAATAATAAAGAGGTAACCAGGCTGTCCAGCTCTGGCGTCTTTGCTGAGGGTCACACTGAGCTGCGAGCTGCTGCAGGGGCGTCTTTAGAAGTCAGCACCATGGCAGAAGACATCAAAACCAAAATCAAGAACTACAAGACTGCCCCTTTTGACAGTCATTTCCGTAACCAGAACCAGACCGGGAACTGCTGGCAGAACTATCTGGACTTCCACTGTTGCGAGAAGGCAATGACCGCTCAAGGGGGTGACGTTTCTGTGTGTGAATGGTACCGGCATGTGTACAAGTCCCTCTGCCCCATATCCTGGATTTCAACCTGGGATGACTGCCAGGCAGAAAGCACATTTCCTGGGAAGATCTGAACTGGCTTCACCCACCTTTCCTCTGCCCTCCATTCTTGTCTCAGGTGGCAAAATGGGACCTGGGTTCATGGTGATCCACCCACGTACCACCCTGGGACCCTGAATCATGACTTAACTAACAATAAAAGTTCATTGGGGGGCGGGGGAAGAGGCAACCAGATAAATCCAAGTTGAGGATGTCCTACAAAATAACTTGCCTGGACTCTTTAAATAGGTCAACATCAGGAAGAACACTGGGGACCATTCTAGGGAAGAGAAGACTAAAGAGACATGACGACTAAAAGCAATGTCTGATCCTTGACAGGATCCTGGATCCCAAAGGAAAGGAAACCAACGGTAACTGCTGGTAGAAATATAAAGTGGTACAACTGAGTTGAAAACAGTGAGCAATTTCTCAAAAAATTAAACACAGAATTACAATTCTGCTCCTAGGTTACACAAGGGAAACAAAAACGAATCCATGCAAAATCTTGTTCACTACTGTTCATAATGTCATTCATAATAGCCCCAAAGCAGACATAACTCATGTCCATCAACAGACGGTTCAACAAAATGCAGTGTACAAGCCAGTACTATCCAGCCATAAAAAGGAATGAAGACCAATACATGCCACAACATAAAACCCAAAAATATTACATGAGAGAAGGCAGACACAGACTACACATAGTATAATTATATGACATGTCTAGAAAAGGCAAACCCACAGAACATAGTTGCCTGGGGCTAGTAAGTGGTGGTAGGGTAAAGGAAAGTGATTGCTAATGGGCATGGGGTTTCTTTTTGGGGTGATGAAAATGTTCTAAAATTGACTGTGGTAATCAATACACAACTCTAAAAATAGAAAAAGAAATCTCTGAATTGTCCATTATATATAAATTGTATAGTGTGTGAATTATATCCCAATGAAGCTGCTATTTTCAAAAGCAAGACTATGAAGACACTTTATTGGAACACCTGGGGAAATCTGAAAATAGACTATATATCAGATGTAGTACTGTTTTCAATGTGAACTTTATTGAGTATGACAACTGAATTGTAGTTAAAAAGGAACATGTCCATACTCTTAGGAGATATTTGCTGATGCATTCATGGCTAATTTACCTTAATTCCATAATTTAATCTTAAATAATTCAGAAAAGAAAAATAAGAAATGTATGTGCATATATGTATCGTGTGTTCCTATGTGTATGAGTAAGAAAAAGCAAAGATGACAATTTTTTTTCTCAGGTCATAAGTTTATTTACAAACATATTCAGTATACTATGAGTTTAAGAGTTTGATCCATTTTCCAGAGATTGTGATTGCGCCTCTTAAAATGTTCTTCATATCTATTAAATAGATGAATTAAAGCATCCTTATTTCTTAAGTAGTTGGTGTCTTACTGTAAAGAAAGGTGTAGCAAATCCAGATCCAAAGTACAAAGTCATCAAAACGAGTAATCACCACTTGTTTTCCACTGAAAATGGCAGATTCTTCCCCGGGCCCTTCTCATAGTGGCCCCTACGGACCACGGAGGTAGTGAACCTCTGGATGCTCCATCCCAGCATGGTGCTGCTGGAAGCTCTGCAAGATGCACAGAGTCCGAAGACAGGAGAAAGGGTCACATGGCAACAACCCCTTCCTTTCTCAAGATCTTGTTCTCTAGCTCAACAATGTATTGTTTACAATGATTTAAGTGAAATACATATGGGGTGAATACTATACTTTAATCTCTACTATGAAATTTTTCAAAATAAAAATTTACCACATAGGCGACAGCATACTGAACTGCAATCCTGGAAGCCACATGCTGATTACAGGTTGAGATCCCCAGTCTATTCAACCTGAAAACACACTGGACATGCATATGTGCCCAAGATCCATGTCATGACCAGACCCTGTAAAGGGTACCTGCCTCTCTCATGCACACATGCTCTTAAAATATAAATTTATATAAATGATAGCCTCACTATGTTGCCCAGACCTGTAACCCTCCTGGCTCAGTTTCTGCAAATTGCTGGGATTATAGGTGCCAGGCTCCACACCCGAAATTTAGGTTGGATCAGGAATCAAACCTGGGCCTCCCATGTGGACCCAGCCTGAGAGCACGTCTTAGCAGTACCACAGCAGCTGGAGTATTTTCTATCAGATATTTTCAAACACCATACTTTATCCTCACTAAAACACCACTGTTCTTGCTAAGGCAAGACACCAACCATCACTTTATATGTGTATATAATGAAAGTCCACCTTTCATCCCACATAAATAAAGGGTTAAGTGAAACCTGCCAATTGTAATAGCTGATGGGATCAGCAGTTGGCACAATAGCTATGTCGCTGGATTCCCCTGTAGTAGACTGTGGTTCAAGTTCCGAACCCGGTGGCTTAAACTCATGCCGGGCATGTGTGCGTGTGTGCCCAAGATCCCAAGTGGAAAGTGGAGAAGAAGTGATTGTGGCGTGGCCATCCTCCCATGGGGGTGATTTTTCACTTTGTCTCTCTCTGTCTTTCTGGCAAGCGCACGCACCCTATAGCAAAACCTTTCCAAAAAAAAAAAAAATAGCTGAGGAAACTACCCTCTGGGTGAACTGTGCCTCACAGGAACATTTCATTAAGAGGCAAGCAGGTTTCTTACAAGGAGCCATATGGCAAATATCATTAAATTCCTATTACTTAACTTTGAGGAACCATTTTGTAAAGATTATCTCATGTATAATTAGAAAGAAAAAACTTAGATTTAAGAGGCCCCCAATGTTCTAAAATGATTCTGAAAGGTTATTTCATTTCAAAGAATTTCAAACTTGAAACTTTTCATTCATGTATTTATTCCACAGTCAAAACAAATCATAATTTAAAGCCATAACATTTTTAAAACATAAAGGAGAATTCATGGCACAGCTACATTAACACGACAAACACCGGTCTAGAGCGCAACACTAAACAGGTGTTCTCTGTTCCCAGGGTGGAATAAATGCACATGAGGTACACAGAAAATCTCACTAAAGAGCTGCAATGAGGCAAATAACCCTTTGAAACAAACTGCCCGATATTGAACAGAGGCAGGATGAAAATAATTTCTATTAACATTTAACTGCAAGATGGAAGAATCCCCAAGCTGACTACTAACTCGAACCCTCATTTCATGCATCTGGCCTTGGCTTCTGTCTTTTCTCCCCAGTCACATCCAAATCCAGAAAGCCTTCTGCACCCCAGGCTCAAAAACACAACCCCAAATCCCCAAGGTCCTCGGCACAGCCTGACATTAATGAGCCTGTATGCAACCTTCATCTAGAACCTCTAGGGAAATCAGAAGCCCAAACAGAGCACAGCATGTTTTGTTCAAACAATAGTTCTAACTGTCCAATGAGCTCTGACACGCCATATGCATTTCATAAACAAATGAAAATAATGTCTTCTTATCTTCCTATCTTTCTTGCAAAAACATTAAGCAGGTCATCAAATTTAAGAATAATAATAATAGAAGAAACAATGAAAAATAAAAAATCCAAAGGGTCTATGCCAACAAGCAAACCAGTCCTCTGCAGCCTAGCTCATTTATTTCTGGGCTGTGAAGCCATGTAGAGTGCGATCAGACAGTAGATGGTCCCTCCTACAGTCAGTGCCATGGTGGTCCGGTAAAGCATTTGGTCAGGCAGGCCTCGTTTCAAGTGGATGGGCACACCATCAGATTTCTTGAAAGCAAGAATTAACAAGGGCATGGTTGATAAGAAAAAGATTCTATAATTTCAGACTAATAAAGAACAAATCTGTCTGCTTTGTAATGAATTCATCAATATATCACAGTGGAAAATGCTCTAATCCATCAGAATCCTAACTGAAATACTGGTATACCTTATAGATGTAGCTAAAACATTTAAGTCCAAAATGATGCTCCCAGGGCCAGCAGGTGGCAATGGTGACTAAGGTGCTGGAATCCCACATGGCCGGCCATAGCTCATGTCCCAGACCTGTAGCTTGCTTTCTCATTTTTCTTCTCTCTTTCTCTCTCTCTGGTCAAACAATAATAATAATAATAACAAATAAAATAATTATTAAAAAAAAAAAAACAAAGTCATGCTCCAAATAAAGCCTCAACACACATGCAACAAATCCCAAATTTCTAAGACATTTATCATGCATTCTTTAAGTAGGAAAGATGCACTGGTGAATTTTTAAAAAGGCAAGGGTAAGTGGGACCAGCAGTTGGCAAAACGATTATGTCACTGGACTCCCATGTAGTCGAGTGGAGTTCAAGTCCTGGACCAGGTGGCTTAAACTCACACAGGGCGTGTGTGCGTGCATGCCTAAGATCCTGAGAAGAGAATGGAAGAGAAGGGAGTGCGGCGTGGCCATCCCCACAGGGGATGATTTCTCGCTTTCTGTCTCTCTTTCTGGCAAGGGCACGTGCCCTACAGCAAAAACCTCTTTAAAAAAAAAAAAAGGGGAAGAAAAGTAATCAGCAGCTAAACAGAAGCACAGGCAGAAGATAGGCTCTCCACTTAGTTCTGTATTTCTTCTCTTGGCTACTGATCATGAGTGGATGAAGTCTGGGCACACAAGGTCAATTAGCAGGTGCAAATTTATTTTGTATTCAACTGTGTTAAACCCCTGTTTAATAATCAGACTCCATAAGGTATTTAATTCATTATTTTGCAGTCTCCAAAATCCCTCCCCTTTGTATCTTGAGACTCCAAATGCCCTTTTAAATCTTCACTTATCAGATAAAAGGAGATTAAACTGATGGGGAGAAAAAAAAAAAAAAAAAAAACAACTCTATCCCCAGGACAGATCTGAACTAGAACACATTTTTGAAAAAGGTAAGTTGACTTATAGCAACCACAGTAGCAGGTACTGCCACTCAGATGGCATCTGAGATAACAGGCAGGTCACTAACTTCTCTACTAACTATAGGGTAGATTAACTTTAATAATATTAGGTTGTTGGAAAAGTCATGATGTGTTTTACTATGCAAAAATACATGATGGAGGGGGCTGGCAAGTGACGTGGTGGTTAAGGGCAGTGGACTCCCACATGGCTGACCACAGCTCGAGTCTTGGACCTAGCAGCTTGCTTTCTCACTTTCTCTCTCTCTTTCTCTGTCTCTCTCTGGACAAATTAAAATAAAAACATTTAAAAAAAAAAAAAAAAGCGTGATGGAGGCCAGCAGGTGGCATGATGGTTAAAGGTGCTCAATTCCCATGTGGCTGACTGCGATTTTGAGTTCCAGACCTGGCAGCTTGTCTTCTCCCTTTCCCTTCCTCTCTCTCTCTCTCTCTCTCTCTGGTCAAATTAAAAAATAATAAAACAGATGAGCACTTAGCATAATAGCTATGTTGCTAGACTCCCATGTAGTCGACTATGGTTTGAGTCCCAGACCTGGTGGCTTAAATTCACACCGGGCGCATGTGTGTGCATGCCTAAGATCCCAAAAGGAGAATGGAGAAGGGATTGAGGCGTGGCCATCCCCCCTGGGGGGGTGATTTCTCGCTTTCTGTCTCTGTCTTTCTGGCGAAGGCATGCACCCTATAGCAAAAACATCTTTAAAAAAAAAAAAAAAAAAAAAAAACAACAACAAATGGAATTAAATAAATAATTCTGTTTTTTGTTTTTTTTTGTTTAAATGTGCCATGACTTTTCAAACAACCCAATATTATAAATTCAAGTCTGGTTTCTTTCCTTAAGAGAGAGCAAACCCAAAATGGCCTCTTCTATCAATACTTCCAGCAACAGCAAGCAAAAAACAATTAGAAGAAAACTCACTGCCAAATGACACTATGTGTACCACAAAGACAAATATACTGGGTCATCAGGAAAGTCACGATCCATTTTTTTATAGAAAACATGGAAGAATACTTCATGCCTTTCCAGATGATCTAACATATTCGATTATGCACAGTATCACTAAACATGCTAGTGCTTCCTCCATGTAACAGATGATCAAGTGCTATCTATGCAATTTGAAAACTTCGATACCCTTAAATACTGGTGAGGAAATTAACCACCTTTCCCTCTTGCATCAGTATATACCTATACAGAGTTCTATCAGTTTATGGCTCAAACTAAAATCAGGAGAATTCTATGTAACAGAAAAAGGAGGATAGATAGTAAGCTAGATCAAGATTCAGTTCTATAGGGGATTTTAAAAGCCTGTTTCACAGGGTTCTCAGTGCTAGAATGTCTTCTCTCACCTGGAAAATCTTCTGTAGCTCTGGAACTTTGTTTTTCCCATTATAATCATATACAGTGGAATTAGACGTCAGTTTAGTTGGTGTGGCAAATATGATAGGCGGTGCTTCTGCGGAAGCCACAGGCTTTAATCCCTGTAAGAAACGGAAATGCCAAGCTGAAAGAACACCTGGGTATCTTAACAGAACTTTCAAGGAGCTGGCTGTTGGAACAATGTTGCAGCCTTCAACCTATGCAAGGAATATAAAGTCTTTTGGACTCTGGACTCTGCACAACAAGGCCTTTGGTCAAATGTCAAACTTCTGACAAAATAACCCTTATCTTTTTTTCCTGGAATAAATCCTGTTCAAGAGCTCCCTGACATTAAGATAGTGGTGGTGGAAAAGGCCCAGATGGGCTTCCAGAAATACCTGTTGTGTCTATCTTCTTAACAAATCAATAAAACATAGGAACTTTTAACTAGATTTCATAAAGGACCTGGATGTCCCTTTTCTGTGGATAAGCTCAACATGGAATGTCTAAACAGTGGACCTGCAGAAACTTTTCCAGATACACGGTAAAGAAATATTTCAATCTAGAAGAGACCGTAAAGGTTAAAAACAATTTATCTTTTTGAACCAGAAAGCAAAAACAAAAAAATTATAAAATAACTGAACATTCCAGCTTTATAAAACCCATAAACGAGTCGGTTATGGCCTGGGTTTAAGATGACTGGATCCTACATGGGTGGATGCATGGTTTGAGTCCTGACCCAATGGATTAAAAAACATTCCAGACACATATGCCTGTGTATGCCCAAAATCCCAACAGCAGGAAGAGATGGAGAAGCAATCACAGGATCGCCATGACCCACAGGGGGTGCTTTCTCACTCACTCTCTCTGGCAAGTGCATGTGCCCTCTGGCAAATTTAAAACTACATAAATTTAAAATACATATAGTAAAAACAAGGGTGGAGCGGAAAGTTAGAATACATGCTATAACATGGCTGAGCCTTAAAAATATGCTGAGTGAAGAAAATCAGTTGCAAAAACCTATATACTATATGTTTCTATTCATAAACACAGAATAAAGAACTCTAAAGAGACAAAGTAGATTAGTGGCTGCCTGGGAGGTGGGCTGGGGATGGGGGGAGGGGGTGACAGCTAAAGGGTATAGGTTTCTTTTTTTAGGTTTTTTCTTTTTTAAGTTTATTTATTTCTTCCATAAGAAAGGTCGGGGGGACAGTAAGGGTGTGTGTGTGTGTGGGGGGGGGTATGCCCCTAACAGTCTCCACACTGTGATCCTAACTGCAGCCTCAGCAAGCCAGGATCACGAGCACAGGCACAGGTACACGCAGCACACACAGGGAGACCTCAGGACACAAATCCTGGACCTTCCCATGGGCCTTGAGATTAGGGAACATTGGTTACCACTGCACCACTGCAGCAGGCATATAGGTTTCTATCTGAGACGATAAAAATGTTCTAAAATAACTGTGGTGGTGGTTAGGTATATAAATATCTTGCTTTATTTATTTACTTCATGAGAGCAAAAAATAGAGAGACAGAGACAGACTTGCTTGACAGGGTCTGGTCATACTATAATCCCCTTCCCCACCACTCCAGTCAGTCAGGATGTTGGCTGCCTGTTCCTGGCGTGCTCCACGTTGACTCAGGATTCAATCCCACAGTCAGCCATGTGGCTTCCAACTCTGTAGACTAACATGCTACAGACAGCACCATGGTGGCTGAGGCAACTGGATCCCACATGGATGGTTCAAGTCCCAAACCCAGCAGCTTGAAAACATGGTGGGCACGTGTACATGCATGCTCAAAATCCCGGTAGGAAGGAGAAATGGAAAAGGGATGGTGGTGTATCCATGCCCCAAGGAGGGGAGCGGTCCATGCTCCCCCCACTCCACTGTAAGAGTATTCGCTCTCTGGAGAATTAAGAAAAAAATTAAAAATAATTTTTTAAGGCTGTTCTAAAAAAAAAGAGCCTAAGGGAAATTCTTGTTTTTTTTCTCCAAAAGAATAAACCTATAGTGACAGATGAAAAGATGAATCTTCAAAATAATCTGCAGGTTAAAACAAAGATGTTAAAGAGTTATAAGCCAATAATTCTACCTAGGAAAAATAATTTTTTAAGGTTTTGCCATAGGGTGCATGTGTTGGCCAGAGACCATGAGAGGGAAAGTAAGAAATCACCACCCAGGGGGGATGGCCACACTATAATCCCTTCTCTGTTCTCCTCCTGGGGTCCTGCCACACATGTACCTCACATGATTTTCAAGTTGCTAAGTCCAGGACTTGAACCACAGTCAGTCAAATGGGAATCCAGCACCGTAACCATGCCGCCTGCCAGCCCCCAAAAATAAGTTTTCAAAATTGAAAAGCAGAGTTCAAGCCCAGCCTTTATTTTATATATAAAAAAGGAAATCTCTTACCCAAATTAATACAGTCAACAGACCCGATTCTGTCTCTCAAATCTAAATTTACCTATAATTGATACGGCTGATTCTAAAGGTCAGACATTGAAAACCTCAATAGTACTCCCACCAGGTAGGCATTAGTGTCAACATGGCAACAAAAAGTTATTAAACTAAACTTGACTTCTATTTTTTCTGACAGTCTGGTAAATGAGAGTGACTAATGGCCTGTTTTCTGTAATGCATTCAATTCATTGAACAAATATTAGTGTTCTTACTTACTAATTACTAAAATTATATATCCTCTGATACCTCACACTTGGCACATCCAAAATTCACTCAATATGCCCACTCAGGAGGCTCCCCATCTCAGTGGAAAGCAACCTCACTGAGGTTATCTTGAAACCCTCCTTCCTATTTCCCAACATTTCTCTCATCAAGTAGAGTACAAACTCTACCATAAGTTTCTGCATCAAGTTGTTTTGTTCTGCAACTTCTTACTCACTTCTCAAAAAATTAAGACCTGAGCTAGCCATATGGTCTAGTGGTTAAGGGAACCAGATCCCACATAGCAATCATGTGGCTTGAATCCCACACCAGCAGCTTGGAAAAACACCAGGCACATATACTTATGTGCCCAAAAGACTAATGGGAGAGAGTAGGGGTTGCTTGCTTTCTCTCTGGCAAGCGCACAAGCCTTCTGGCGAAACAATAAGTCCTCTATCCTAAGCCCCTTCATGACCTCCCTCCATCACCTATAGCCAAACTTACCTACTCAATGATTCTCCTCCAGAACCCTTCCCCTCCTTCACTCTCTCCGTTCCTAACCCAGAATATCATGCTACAATCTCAACTAGGACAGGAATGGCGGGGTTATATAGTAAAACTGTTTCCCTTTTTAAGAAACTGTAAAACTATTTTCAAAACTGGCTGCACCATTTTACATTCCCACTAGAAATGTAATGGAGTCTCAGTTTTTCTACACCCTCATCAATATCTGTTAATGTCTTTTTTGGCTGCAGTTATTTTGAAAAATGCATAGTGGCATTTTATTGTAGTTTTGATACACTTTTCCTATAGGCCTAATGTTAAGCATATTTTCATGTGCTTACTGGCCCTGATTTACTTTATAATTATTTTATTTAACTTTATTTATTTATTTATTTTGAGAGGTTTTCACTATAGAGCGCGTACGCTCACCAGACAGACAGAGAGAGACAGAAAGCAAGAAATCACCCCCAGGGGGGATGGTCACGCCGCAATCCCTTCTCCTCCATTCTCCTCTTGGGATCTTGGGCACGCACGCGCACACACACGCGCCCGGCGTGAGTTTAAGCCACCGGGCCCAGGACGCAAACCGCGGTTGACTACGTGGGAGTCCAGCGACATAGCCATTACACTAACTGCTGGTTCCCTATTTATTTATTTTTTTAATTTGACCAAAGAGGGACAGAGAGAGAGAGAGAAAGTGAGAAAGTAAGCCACCAGGTCCACAGTTCAAACCATGGTTGACCATGTGGGAATCCAGCACCCTTAACCATTACACCACCTGCCGGACTCTACTTTTTTTTTTGTTTTTTTTTTTTTGTTTTAAAGGTTTTTACCATAGGAGATATGCGCTAGCCTAGCAGGAGAGAAGGAAGTGAGAAATCACCCTCGCAGAGGGATGGCCACACCGCATTTCTCCTCTCAGGATTTTGGGCATGCACACACATGCCTAGAATGATTTTTAAGCTACCAGGTCCAGGACTTGAACCACGGCCAGCCATGTGGAAGTCCAACACCTTAACCACCACACGACCTACTGGCCCTGAATTTACTTTTGACAGAGGACACAGAAAGAAAAGGAAAATACTTTTTAAATAACCACTAGAGGCCAGCCAGTGGAGTGATAAAGTGCCTGGATCTCACATGGCCGTCTATGTGATCGAGTCCTAGACTGAGCAACTTGAGAAACACACTGGGTACGTGAACATGTGTGCCCAAAGTCCTGAAAGGAAGAAATGGAGAAGAGATTAGGATGTGACCATTCCCTATGGGGGTAATTTCCCACTGATAGTGGGTTTGTGAGTGAATTCTGGATGTGTCAAGAGTGAGTTAGGCATGAGCTGAGTCATGACAGACTGAAAATAATTTCCAGTCCTGAATCACAGTGAAAGGGCCACAGGTTTCTATGACTCCATCTCTCTCTCTCACTGTCTAAGGCAAGCACATGCACTTTCTGGCAAATTAAGAAAAAAAAAAATTACTAGAAAACACCCTCCCTGAAGACAGTAGGTGGCGCAGCAGTTACGTTGCTGGACTCTCACATGGCCAACTGCGATACAAGTCCTGGACCCAGGAGCTTGAAACTCACTCTGGGTATATTTGCATGCAAACCCTAAGATCCCAGGAGGAGAATGGAGAAGAAGGAACTGCGGAGTGGCCATCTCCACTGGAGACTGATTTCTCACTTTCCGTCTCACTATCTCTGTCTCTCTCTTTCCAAGTACAAGTTACCTAAGGCAAAAACTTCCAAAAAAAACCACACACACACAAAGAAAATACCTTTCCAACTAATACTTGCCATCAAGGTGATATATAAATCTCTACTTGTGCTACCGTTATAGAACTAGCTTTTCCTTGGGCCAGCAGGTGGTGTAGCAGTTAAGGCGCTGGACCTGGTGACTTGAGACTCACGCCTGGCCTAAATCCCGAGAGGAGACTGGAGAACGGATTGTGGCGTG